TTAATTATGGATACATTTCTTTTATTTTAAAAATAATTTAAAAGCACGCAGGGCGTGGTGGTGCACACCTTTAATCCCAGCACTCCAGAGGGAGAGACAGGCGGATCTCTCCGAGTTCAAGGCCAGCCTGGCCTACATAGTGAGTTCCAGGCCAGCTCAGGCTACAGGAGACCCTATCTCAAAAAAATAAAAAGAGCCAGGCGTGGTGGTGCACGCCTTTAACTCCAACACTCGAGAGGCAGAGGCAGGCGGATCCCTGTGAGTTCAAGGCCAGCCTGGTCTACATAGTGAGTTCCAGGACAGCTGGGGCTACAGGGAGACCCTGTCTCAAAACGACCAAAAATAAATAAATAAATAAATAAATAAATAAATAGAATTTAAAACAATTTTTAAGTTTAGCATTCAAAGCAATGTCATTATGAAATTTCCAAACATATTTCTAAACTTTCTTTTATCCCCCTTCCCCTGCCCTCCCTCAAGTCTCACATGTCCTGCCTGCCTCCAGCTAGTCCCCTTCATTCCTCTACATATTCCCCACTTCTGCATTTTTAATGTATATTTTTATTAAATTTTTGTGCATTTCATACAAAACATCTTAATCTTTATACCCCTTCCCCTGTCCACACCACCTATAGCCCCACTGGATTTCATGCATTCTGTCATATATCACGTGTATTCCATTATCTTTTGTTTCCCACCACCCTTATGGTTGCTTCCTCCTATCTCATGATTTCCTTTCTAGTTTTACATGTATACGTAATTTTAAATCTAAATTCTTCATATGAGAGAAACATGTAGTATTTGTCTTGCTGAGTCTGGCTTGTTTGGTTTAACATGAATTTCCAGTTTCTGCAAACATCATTTCATTTTTCCTTATAGCTGCATATATTCCATCATGTTTATGTAGCACATTTTCTTTATTCATTCATGTGGATGGGCATCTAAGCTGGATGTATTTCCCGGCTATTGTGAATAGTGCAGCAGTCAAGAAGGATGTCCAAGTATCTCTGTGCTAGGTTGACTTCAAGCCCTTTGAGAATACATCCAAGAATGTATAGTTGGATCACGTGGTAGTTGTTTTCAGTTTTTGAGGGGCTTCTTAATGATTTGCACAATGTCTGCTCCAGTTTGGTGTCTCCCAGTAGTGAGTAACATTCCCTCCCATTTCTTTCTCAGCTTGTTATTGGTTGTCTACAAAAGCTACTCATTTTTTATGTTGATTTTGTATCCAGCTACTTCACTGAAAGTGTTTATCAGGTCAAAGAGCCAGGGCTACAGAGTGGAACCTTGTCCTTAAAACAAAAAACGATGGCACCCAGCAGCCTTTCCCTTTTGAATCTTGTAAGATGATAAAATGGAATGTCTCACGATCACTGAATAAATGTCTAACCAAAACACAACTGTATTTGAGGTAAGGGCTCTGACCTTTAATGGTAGGAATGCCTATCTTTCATCTGGCTTACCTTTGTTGATGTTGTTGCTCATTTGTTTGCTTTGTTTTGGTCTGTATTTTCCTGTAGCCCCAGCTGGCATGGAACTCGCTATGCAGACAGGCTAGGCTCAAACTCAAGAGATCTGCCTGCTTCTGCCTGTCTAGTACTGGGATTAATGGCATGCTTGCCCCTGGCTTTACCTTTTCAAACGGCTTTGCTGTCCCTTCTCAAACCAGGGAACAGGTGAAGCTGTGTGCCACGCCCCCCCCTTTTTTTCTTCTTCTCTTTTCAGGATACCTTTTATTTTCTCATCAATTTCCAAAGGTCTTCCTCTTTCTCTCTTTTGAATAGACTATTTTTAAAAATACTGAATCTTGGGGCTGGAGAGATGGTTCAGCAGTTAAGAACACTGGTTGTTCTTACAGAAGACCTGGGTTCGAATCCTAGCATCCACATGGCAGCTAACAACTGTAACTCCAGTCCTAGGGGATCCGACAGCTTCTTCTGACTGCTGTGGGCATTGCCCGACACGGGTGCACTTATCTACATTCAGGGAAT